TATAATCAAAATAAATCGTGAATAACAATGTTTTTTTTCCATCAAATGTATTTAATTTTTTAATGCCTCTGGACATCGAATTTAATGCTCTTTAATGCCATTTAAGGCCTTAATTTTCGCAAAATCTATTTAATGACTTTTAATGCTTTTTAATGACCCGCGGAAACCCTGTCTTTGCTCCAGAGAAACATTTTAAAAAATGGTGTCAAAGTTTGCTATCTTGACCCTTCAAACCTTGACAACAACATTTCAAGGTTTCAGTTTATACAGCCGAGGGAAACATTGTGGGACAAGCCAGGTTACACTAAGACAAACTGGAAATGTATGTCATACACTTTCAGACTTTCTGGTCCATTGTTGATCATAGTCATGGGTGAGGGCTCACAATGCACTGCTGTAATCTTATTATTTTATTTCTACTGAGTTCTCATCAGCATGGCATCAAAGCACTTATCATTAATCCAGCTTTGTCTCTGCAGTGTCACATGAGTGTGTGACAGCCACTTTTTACAGCCACGTGGGAAAATGATTGTATCAGCATCAAGCAGACAACAAGCAGATGCTGCTCACGCTGAGTGTTAATTACATAAACATTTTAGTCCATTTAATGTTACTGTGTGTTACAAAATTTCACACACAGCACAGCCTCTGGTGTCTCTTCCCCTCCCTGAAAAAAAAACACTTTTTCACTTTCTTATGCAGATCTAGAAATGACAAGAGATGGAGTGAGGCCTGCCACATGGCGCCCTCTGTGTCCTCCCCTCCCTCCTCTCCCCTCCTCACCCCAGCTCCTCACCACATCAGGATACACTTGTTCTGGTGAATTCCGGTTTCAAACGGAACGCTGCTTTGCTCTGGTTTTCTGCAGGACCAGTATTAAAAGCAGGCACATGCTGTCTCTTGGTGGCCCTGTGGTCAGGGAGGGGGAGCTTCCAACGGCCTGTTGTACTCACACACCTTTGAAACCTCACCCGCTCCTGCTTCCTCCCCCTGAGCCTTCCTCCCCTCCTTATCCTCGACAGCCCACGTGCTTACCCTTATCATGAGAGCAGGCTCAGAAAAAGAAAAGTTCCTCCCACCCCAGGCCGTGAAGCTCTTCACCTCCGCTCGCCTCCTTCACGCTGTCATGCCACTGATTCCTTTTTGACTACAGACACACTGATGTTCAACTTGTATGATGAATTATCTTGATTTTAGATATTAAAACTGTAATTTGAATTCAAAAAAAGTCTTTAAATGTCTCAGTCGTCTCACTTTCATCTATTTTCTGTCCTTTGACCTCCAACCTTAATTATGGTGCCCCTAGTGTTGAAAGGAAGCACTGCACAAGAGTTTTCTGGTTTGAGTTGAGCCTCAAATCCCCCCCAAATTATTTAAAACTATTTCAAAAATTAAACATTTTGTTAGTCAAAATTGTTTCTGCAGTGGTTCTGGTTCACTCATCAGTCTGATACATCAAAAGCACTGAAGTAAAATCACTTTCTACTGAAATATATAGCTTTAATATGACATGATTTACCTTCTTATCCAGCAGTTTTCACATTAAAGTGACTCAGTTATAATTTTCAACTGTTTATTTTTAATGTAGAGCACAATATCATTTGTTCTGTAGCTTCTATGCATAGAATGTTTCTGCCATTTTGTGGCAGAGATGCGGTTTCTCATGAAAGTGCCAGCAAGACGAAGTGAAAATCATTTCCCAGATCTATTCTTTGCAAAGCAACATTGCCACCTGGTGTTGAAGAGAGACAGACTGGCTCACTGAAACTGTTGAACTCTAAAAGTAGTTCAAGATGAGAGCTGATGGGTGTTGAACAGTGTATCTGTGAAGGCTGTACATTTTCTTGCTCTATATGAAATGCATGACCATCTTTTTAGTCAGGTTTCCGTCCATGCAGGTCCTCTGTGTGCCTGAACTAAATCTGAGGAAGGACCGGAACTTAAATTTTTACTAAAGTTAAAAATTGCAAAGTCTTTTTCTGAAGCCAGACTCTGCCTGTACACATTATATTGTCACTATTTACCCACAGTTAGGCTGATTACTAGATGATCAGTAAAGCTGATCAGCATCGAAGGTGGATGGGTTGATGAGTCGATATCTCCTGGATATGAAACATAAAACGACATGAAACTAAAACAAAATGCATTGCAGTGGCCATTTGGGGATTTCACTTTTGTTCATATGATTTCTTAAGTACCTGTGACCGTCATGACTTTTCCTATCAGCTTGTGCATCACATAACAGCTCCAGAAAAGACATCTTGTGCATGTCTGCCTCCAGAAGTGCAGACTGTGCTCTATCAGGGCCAACAATGTGACATAAAAACGAGTTAGACATCTGTTTTTAATCTGATGTCTTGTGGCACACAGTAACGAAAGACACAGGTCACAGGGGAACTTCCCTCAGAGGAGCGCAGGGTTTCTCAGAGGGATGTGCTGGCTAACCGCTGCCCAGGCTGGGCTTCCGGCCCTGGGGCAGCTGAGCCTGCCGGTACACCCTCACACCCTGCAGCACCGCCACTATCACCCCACTCCAGACACTGTGCCAGGATACTGTGGTGACACCACCCTGGGCCTCTGTTCCTCCCTTGTCAACAAGACTGATGGATGCAGAGAGGAGAGGAGGACTCATTGATATCGAAAGTGACTGCAGCTAAGAGTAAAAAAAAATATATTCATTTGTTTATTTAATTTGGGCAAGATGAACTGAGAATGACGGATAAAATGAGAGGAAAAAAGGAAGGTGAAGATGAGTAGAAAATGACAAATAGAGGGTACAAGTGATTTGTTTATCACTTATTTATCATCTATTCATTTATCACTAATCAGTTGTCTTTTTTAATGTTGGATTGAGCTGCATTTTAAAGAGATTCAATATGATGAGTAATTTCTCAACAATAGGAACTTTATTTAGACAGACAGGACCATGTGTTCATTCAAAACTGACCCACTGCAAATGTTACCACTTATCTTCAGCTAAAATAAAGCTTTTCTCTCACTCTTCAGTATGAACAGGAGCCACCAGGGGGCACAATGTAGAGCCTTTTTCAACTCAACTTCACACGTACACGCACACACACACACACACACACACACACACACACACACACACACACAATATCAAATGAGAAAGCTGATCTGTATAATGGCTTATATGGCTGATTGATCTTGATTACATCGTGTGTGTGTGTCTATGTGTGTGCACATTTATGGGCAAGAGAGAGAGAAGAGGAAAAGGAGCTTGTGACTGCTTAACAATAATTAAGGCAGCATGATTAAACTGTCTTAAATTGAAGCCATTTTATTTCTAATGTGCACTTGTTTTAATGAAGTCAAGCACATCATGCACCTCCTTATCTGCTGAGAGAACCGCTGAGTCTTCTGTGTGTGTGAATGTTTGTTCGACATTGCCCACTGTGTGTATAAGTAGTGTATGTGAAATACCGTAACTGGTCTGGACTGTGTGTTCAGATCAGAGCGCTCTGAGCCCCCTCACTGGTTAATATTAGACACCCTGCTTGTTGGAGGGACTGACAGCTCATCGTGAATGCTGCTAAAATAGGTGCAGCCATGTACACACACAGTGAGACACACACGCACACTCACCTCCACACACAGACAAGCATCACACGTGAACGTCACACACCAACTCTAAACTCCCAGAAAAGCCTTTGTGAAGCTCAGCCAGAGAGGGAGCCGCCCGCCTGACGCCAACTCCAAAAAGCAGGTGAGGCTGGGTGTGTGTTTCTGTGTGTGTTTGACTTATAGTGGTGGGCGGAGGGCGGTTTCGTGGTGTGATGACAGGGTAAAGCTCATAATGGTCAGCATCAGTGTGTCAGGCTCAGGGCTGGGAAAGTATGAGCAATGTAAGGTGAGGAAAATGGCTTCTCCAGAACGGGGCTTTTCTCTGTTTAGTGTCAAATCATGACTTATTTCGATTTGGCTCAGCTGAAGGCAGAATTCAGGGGCCTGTGAGTAAACACAGATGGGTTTTAAAAATTCCTATCAGCTCTCTGTCGCATGAACGACATGGTGATGGAGTCTGAATTTGAGGATTTGTCATCACCCAATGGTTAGAGCGTCTGCAGGATCATAATGGCCTCTTATCCTCAGAGAGTTTGACATTGTCTCTCGTGACATAACCTGACCTAAAACACGTGAGCTGTTGCAGACTGTATTTTATTGGCTCATGAAGCTTCAGCAGGTAGGGCATATACAGACTCCCAGTGTTAATTCATACAATCTTGCAGGAACACTTTGACGAACAGTTTGGGTTGAGTTTCTTCTTCATCCTGTTGAATGTGTGGCATCACAACAAAATCATCCTGATTGCAAGTAGACACATGCCTCACCAGGCATCCTAGTGATTAAATAAAGTACCACAGAGTGTTATTTTTAATGTACAATAAAGACTCAGGAACTGTATTACAACAGTAACTTCTACAAGCAGTATTTTCGATAAAGGAACTGCATACCCAAAATGCTTTGCATATTTAGAAAACACAAACACATTACAGCTGTAGTTGATAACTTTATCATTTTTTTCATATTTGCAGAAACTGTCACTATATCTACAAATGATTAAAACAGACAAATAGGCTGTGAAAAAAATCATATACCTTCTAATGGCATTGCCTAGAATCTTCCGCGGCACGCCAAAAACAACCAATCAAAGCCAAGGAGTCTCTAAGACAGCCCATGTCAATCACTGCACATGAACTGAGGTCAAACAAGGCAGCACTGATCAAACATGAATCAACATTCTTGTTGCTGCATTGCTTATTTCTCATCTCAAATGTTCTCAGAAACATATTTTAGTGTACTGTTTAGCTGTAAAATGAGAAGGTGTGTGACTCAGCTGCCCCCAACTTTGTCATTTTACAGCTAAACAGTACAGTAAAATATGTTTATGAAAACATTTGAGATGAGAAATAAGCAATGAAGCAACAGAATGTTGATAAGCACATTGAAGTGAGCGTCAACAGATGTTAACTGGCCGTTATGCAGTAACATTAGCATTACGTCATTTAGCTAACGTCAGTCATGGAGATGTCACCTAATCTGTACCTGTGTGTGGAGGCATCACGATATTAAGGCTGATTTATTGCATATATGTCAACACTTTGTATAAGTGTTGCTCGACAGAAATAAAACTGTTGTGCATCATTTCCAGTTAATGGCTTTCGTATTTATGTTTTCCTTTCATGCACTTGTATTTGTTGAATTTGCAAAGCATTTGGACATGCAGTTTGTGTGAAACACCTCTGCCATCGTAGTGAAGGAGCTCGATAAACAAAAGAATATTGTAATATGGAGTGTGGTTTCAAACAGTCTGCTAGTGGATGTTAAAACATTAATTTTTGTATATTTATTTCTTTAATCTATTAGCTGCCATCTGCATGTAATTGATAAATGATATGAAAGCTGCTCTAAGAAAAGTGATGTCCACACAGTGACTAAAACAAATCTGTGGTTCACACGATTATCTGTGAGAATTGTCAACATCTTTATGATGTTCCTACAAAGTTCCTGGGTCTCGTCTTCATCTCCACCCTCTTGAAAGAATAGCGTTCTCCAGTCCGCCCGTCTGTCAGGATGTACCATGTCCCCCAGTAGATCCCATTGGTCACCCCGCTGTAGCGCCCACGGTAATACCGTCCATTCAGATTAGCTGCCAGACAGGCATCGAACCACCAACCTGCACCGTAGTAATGACCACAGTTTCCAGCTGCATAACGGTCGTGGTCTCGGTCAGCTGTGCTAAAGGATCTGCCGTCGTGGTTGTAACGTTTGCTGTAGCTCAATGCGTTGCCTGCATCACCAGAGTACTCTCGTGCTGTTAGACGATACCTGGGAGGAAGAGAAACAACGTATGATACATTTATCAGGGTTGTGTGTGACATCCAAGTCTTTATGCATGTACTGGGGAACCAAGTGGATTAAATACAAAGACACAACCAGGCATGTGGTGATCCTACTGGTATAAAATCACAACCAGACTTATTAGAGGTCAGAGCAAATGTGTCTGTGTTGTGTGATTTTTAAGAATTTCTGCAATTTCTAAAACAAAAGACCCAGTTTTCATTTACTCAGTAGATGTTAGAAACTGACAAGCCTGGTTTTGTGTGACCTCTGTCAAGCAGGTAATGTTTCAGTCCGATTTATTGGTCTGTCGGTTTGTCTGTTAGTTAGCAGAATTACAAAAAAACTGCTGATCCAGTACTGGCCCAATTTTTATGAAACTTTGTGGGAGGGTGTAGCATGGGCCAAAGAAGAGCCATTTCATTTTGGAGAACACACAAAGCTTTGGTGTTGTTGTCTTCCCAGAGGAAAATTTTGCAGCTCACGATAGTCTTATCTTTGTCTCATTAGAAATAAATAAGCTTCTTATTCTGAGATTACAAAATTTTGATCGGTTTCTAATCTGACAATTTCAGAAATTGTGCAGGTTCATTAATAAGCCAATCAAGTTTTCTTTTGGGTCCTACTGTTATCTCAAGAGCTGATTATTTCAGACAAATAAAGATAACTGCAGTTAGAGAGGAAACAGCATAATAAGATCTTAAATTAGGATGAAGCTGAGACATGAGGAAGGATATTTCTCAGAAGGTGACATTAAGATGTATGAGAAAAATCTCATATTTATGTTATATTGATCTCAGTTATGCATAGGAGAAATAGGCTGGACAAGACCAGCACGGTCAGTGAAAGAGTGTTGTGGTACTCTAGTCCAGTCTTGGTCTAAAGACCACTTCTTTTAAGTCTTGTACTGGTCATGGTCTTGTGCCTTGTTGGACTCAGACTTGTCTCGGTCTTGGGCTTGGCTATTGAGAGCTGAGAGCTCGTCCAGTTGTCAAACCATGTTGGCTCTGAGTTAAGGACTTGCCACCACAGTCTGCTAATAATAACATCACCTACAGCCAGTCACTAGCCATCTACCGTTAGATGACAAAATGTTCGTGAATTCTACTGTAAGTAAATGTGGTTTCACCAGCCACAAAGAATTCATGAGCAGTTTGTTGAAAAAGAAGCACAAAGTCAAATACACATTTTGCAGCACGGGGAGTAGATCAGTTTTCTTTATAGATAGATTATGTTTGTCCATCCTAACACCTTAATTACTATATTAGCATTGGAAATACACTATTGCCTATTATGGTCATGAACAGGACCTAATTTGCTCTGGACTCCACTGCCTTGGACTTGGTCTTGACTTGGACTCAACTGGGCCTGGTCTTCTTGGATATGACTTGGACTCAATTAAGTTGGTCTTGAGTAGTGTTAATGGAACTTATTTAAACTCTTAAACTCCATAAATGACAACCAAGATGAATCTTTCTATACTCTGAATGCTACATATTCTCAGGAGCTTTAAGATAACGAATTCCACCCGTCTAGTTATTGCAAGGAGTGTGCGTTTGTGCCTCTGTGGTGTGTTTCACCTCTGTGCCTCTGAGGCCACTTTGAAGTTGTTGTAGGTAGCTTGGCGCTTCTGCTGGTGCCAGTCCTCCAGCTCGATGCGGAGTTGGTGTTGGCCAGTGGCAGTGAGGGCGTGCAGTGCCACGTTCCCCAGCCAATGCTCTCCCTGCGGACTGCCAAAGCCCTCCTGGTATTCCTGCCATGTCCTGTTGAAGTCCAGCGAGCCGTCCCACCGATTCTGGATCACCGTCCAGCCACCACCCGCCGTCTCCATGTCACATTTAGCCTGAGTCAAAACAAAGACTTTGATATTATAAAGCCTAGATTTTAGTGATCCACAGATAGCATACACATCTCTAAAAGAAGAGGAGCAGGGTGGGGGTCCGTCTGTGTATTTTACGAGTGTGGCGAATCTGAAATACCTCCAAAGCCGGCCTGTGCAGGTCAGGCTGGATGGTGTAGATTCCATTCTCTTTGATCCCGAGCCTGTAAATCTCGGCACAGTCCTGAGGATGCAACCTTTCCAAGGGGGCGACTGAGAACCATGAACAGTACGCTTTAATTCAAATCTTTAATCAGCAACAGTTGCATCATGTGATCATGTCTGATGCCCTCACCTGTGGGTGGATGTTGTGTGATGCTCTTTAGGAAAAGCAGCAGGTCTTTCTCCCCCTCTCTTCCCACAGCTGCACTCTCTGTCAACCCCGACAAAGACTGGGTTATCAGTGAGACATCGAGGTTAAAAATAGAAGCCTTGTCTTGATATATGACACAGAGGGGTTTCAGTTTGTGTGAAGGCTGTTTAAATCTTCACATCGTGAGCCATATACTGTAGTATGTGTGTCTGTGTGTGCATGTACACAGAGTTTTTCTCATCCCTCTCAGTGCAGTTAAATTCCTATGCACTCACCTGTGACCGACACTTAGCAGGCCTCATTGAGGTTCTGTTTACTATGTGCGGGGGAGTGCCTGCGCTGGCATTTCTATGTGTGTGTGTGAGGTTGTCTGTGTGTAGTAGAGGTGGGGGATATAAATGTGTACTACTCACCCAGTCGTTTGGCCATCGCCCCAAGGGCCTGGCTGTGACAGTGGAGGTCACACTCTGTCAACACAGCTGCCATTAGTGCCAGGATGGCCCCTAGGGAGTTGCTCTCCTGGCCCCCGTGACTCCAGGGGCCCCCTGTTTCCTGGAGAGAGCGCATGCAGCGCTGCAGCTGAACAAGACGCTCTTTGACACCTCCAGTCTGCAAAGACAGTGCTCACAGGTACTTCTTGATACGACATTGTTACACACAAAACTGCCAACTCCTCTTTAATTAAATTTAATATGCATAAATGCTGATGGGTGAAATGATGCTGTAATAAATCAAGCTGCGGCTGTGCATAATCATACATCCTTCAGTTTGGAAGATAACACCTCAGAGGCTAATCCACTCTCAAAACTCACAGCTCAGTTTTTTGTTTCACACTCAATTTGTCTCTCACACTTACATCAGCCATGGTCACGTCCCTCTCACACACCTGTTGCTGCATGAGCTCAGCACAACCATATGATGAGGACATTTTTAAAGCAGACCTAATTTTATCCCTTCTTTGATTGCTGACTGTCATTGCTCCATGGCTGTTAGGTGGTGCCAAGTTTAGTGTGCCCTCTGTCCCGTGAGAAAGGACCTGCTGACCTGTGCCTGGTAGCTCACTGCTCAGTCTCCCTGGCACACGTGTATGAGACGACATGGGGGCAGCTCTGTTTCAACTCGTCTATCACTGTTTATGAACCACCTCACTGTTACACAGCTGAGAAATATCTGATTAAAAGTCCCCTTATCTGGCTTTTCTTAGAATAACATTTGAGATATTAAACAATAAGATTCATTGAGAGAAGTACAGCCCATGACCTCCCACTACACTGAAGGTGATGTCACTCACCTTTGGCTGAACCTGGGTGATGTCGTGCCTGTGCTCCACCTTCCGAGGAGCATCTGAGATTGCTGGAAGTGAAAGCCCCATCCTGCAGGCAGTTGTCCCAGTTTGACCCTCGCAGGCCCCGGTACCCGCTCCTGCTCCCGTCCCAGGCTGGATGGGAGCAGCCACCAGACTGTCCCTGCAGGGAGGATGCGTGCAGGCTGGAGATGCATCAGAGGACAGCAGTGCTCCCGCATACAGTGACAGCAGAGAAAGGAAACTAAGAGAACCGAGGGGAATCATGGGAAAGTGCAATAATGCAGGCTTGTCCTGACCTTTGTCTTAAACTCTTGAGCAGTGGTCCACCTTCTCCTCCAGGAGGAAAGCTGCCTTTCTCTGAGCTGTAAGTTGTTTGTCCCTTTGTTGTTGAGGGTCCTCAGAAAACTTTTACTTTATATCTTAACAGCTGCCTCTTCAGGTGGAACGTTTTTGCTGACCTGTCCTTTTTGTTTAGATCTCTCTATTGTTTTATACTCTTTGAGCTTCTTTCATCCTCTACGTCTTCTTCTTTTTTTGTCCTCAGTTCAGTTCACTGCCCGTCCTCCTCTTTCTCCTGCTCTCTGTCTGTTAGTGAGGTTGCTTTGGCTCAGATTCCTAGATAACTGCGGCACTCTTTGCTGTCTGACACGGACTAATGCACCCACCCCCTGATGCATGCACACACACACACACACACACACACACACACACACACACACACAATCTGTCCATCTCCTTAACTCATCTCATTCTCTCTTTTAGACTCCCACACAGCCACACACACACAGAGGTGCACTTTTACACATACACACACACGCACACACACGCACATGCAGTGTAACATTATGCAAACAAATCTTTCATAGACTAATGGACTTGTTAATGCTGTGGATGAGTAGCACTTTGCCTGCCTATGCAACTATACCTGTCTCACATCCTGTATGTTCATGCTAACATAACTTTCCTAACCCATACCCAGTCTGAACAGACTTTAACCCCCTCTTACCCATCAACATGCATACAATGTTTGCAGAGATGAAAATGCAGCAGATGCTTAAAGTATGTGGCTCCTTTCCTCCTGTGTACCATTTCCTCGCTCACGTCCTTTTGTGTCACAGTGTTTGTGTTTACAAACGGCGTTCCAAAGAGGCCATAAAGACTCTACATTCAATAGGATGGAGAGGGCAGGAATTCCTCTATAAACACCAGTCATCAGGATTCTGCAGGCACACTCCCACTAACAAGGAGCACAAACACACACGTAGGTGCACACTTAAGCATGAGCATGGAGCAGTATGAAATCTCTGGAATAATGATGTGAAACTTCTGATGAGCCAATGGCAGCTCTCTGTTATTTAGAGTTTAAATGAAGATTTTAAAGACTCAAAAGAGAGTTAGGATCCTAATTTAAGTTACTAAATTCACACACGTTTCTCTTGGTACATAATTATGTGTAAGATTTAAAGGCATCTATTGGCAGAAATGGAAAATAATATTTATAACTATGTCTTCATTCATTTATAATCACCTGAAAAAAAGAATCAATGTGTTTTCGTTACCTTAGAATAAGCCGTTTGTATCTACACACAGAGTGCGTCCTCTTCCACAGAGTCCGCCATGTTGTTTTTCAGTAGCCCAGAATGGACAAACCAAACACTGGCTCTAGATAGGGATATTCTTGTTTTTATGTCAGCCACTGTAGTTCTTCTACACACTTGGACACACAAGGATGGATTCCTGAATGGGCCTGTTGGGCACAGGCCCAGGGGCCCAAAGTGTTATGGCCCCCCTGGCCTTCATTTGCAAAATGTGAAATGCCAAATTGCCACGTATTGATCAGGAAGAGACTCAAAATGACACAAACCCACAAAACAATGTACAGTGACTACAAAGAGATGCAAAACCACCACAAAGTCTGTGTCTTGCTCTTGTGTAGGAGAGGTGGTGGGGCCTTTTGCATATCTGTGAGGAGCCCATCATCTCATAATCCGCACATGACAGTAGAAAGTTTAAGTACTGCAACCTCAAAGCTAGATGCTACTAAATCCTACACACTGAACCTTTAAAGATTCTGTTAGATTAATGATAAATGTAACACTAGGAGTTTGTGAACAATAGGGTATCTATAGATGCTACAGTTCTGTATTTAAGTAGCAAATTAGTTTTTTATTTTGTATTTATTCACTGATGGAAAAAACTGCAAATGGGCCAGTCACCTGTAGTCTCTAGGTAGATGTTAAAGATGCCCTAAAAATAGAAGAAAACAGCATGTCTTATAAAGTAAATATGTATATGCGACATCTTAAATATCAGAATAGTACAGCACACATTCACTCATAAATAATGCCACAGTGAGACCATTGTAAAAACTATATGTGACTGTTGTGAGCTAATCCAGATCATTTAATGTGAAAAAATAGAAATGTATTAAGGGTAAGCATTTTGTTATTACAACTCAAATTAACTTTGTTTATGTGTAGCTGAGAAAACAGATATTTGCAATTTAATGCATGTAGTGATTGAATGTTGTTATTGACAGACATGCAGCTGTTGTGACTCAAATATTTCAGATGTTATGAATACAGTTCTGCTGCTAAAACTATTGTGTGTGTCTCTCACTAACCAGAGATTATATTTCTGAAAGAACTTGAAGCATGTCTTTGGTACTTAGTTGGGAGTTTACAGTAAGAATTTGTTTTAAGTGACACTTTTGAAATCTTTCTTAATATCATTATAATGTATCCTAATTATATATTTTTATATTAATATCACACAGCCCTTATAAATATAAAGTTCAAAATCAGTTTTAAAGTTTTTTGTAATGTGTTATGGTATCATACATTTTTTGTCACATTTTGAAGGGGAAAATATTAATGTGTTTTAATTAGACATGAACTTTCTGTCATATCTGTCAGAAATATATTTTTACATCACACACACACACACATATACACAGACACACACTCACAAAAACATATTTTCTCTCCTGGACTAACAGTCCACAGACAGGCCGTAAAGGCTGACCTACATCCCAATCTTTACATGTTTCTGAAACACTGTGTTTTTGTATTTAGGGCATAGACAGTCTTTCATGTATCACCGAACCAGCTCACTCACCTGTCTTTGACCATAACACTTTCACAGCACAATGTCAGTACCACAGTGTGCTACAGCACTCTATAGAGGTTTAAAACATGAATGTGGGCTAGTGTTTGGGACCACCAGTTCACCTGGTGCATTGATTCAAAGTGAGTTGACACTGTCCTCTAGTGGTGGATCATCACAGTTCTCCACTTTGTCATTGATTGACTGCAATTAACCACACTGAACCATCACGTCTCTTACATGTTATCTTGATCATGTGAAGATGAAAAAGCATCACTGATGGGGGGAGGTATTAAAGTAAGAGGGCAGGTGATCTAGTATGCACACACACACTTCGGGTGATGAGAATCATGTGATATGGTCAAACGCCCCAGAAAGGCTACTAAATGGACTTTGAGACTGTTTTCTAGGTTGAGAGTGGACCTTTGCTTTCAAAGGGGCACACCATTGATTTTAAGTTCAGTTTTGTGGTCATGTCTCCATGTGACAAAGTCTCAGACAATAACCCTGTTGATGTTGTCAGGTTGTCTTAGCTTGGGCTTGAGGCATCAACATTTTAATAGCAAGACTGTTTCAAACTGAGGGTTGTGGGATTTGCTAAAAGTGCACAGCCAGGAGGCAGTTGCACTGTGGGAATTATGGGTACTAGTGTTTTTGGAGTTTGACCCATAAAGACTTAGCACTTGGATATGTCAGTCTTTCTTGCTTGAAATTTTAAATAGGGTCGCAACGGTATGAGATTTTCATGGTACATTAACCATCTCATAAAATATCACGGGTTCACTGTATTACAGAATTGATATTATCATCAATCCTAATGATGCTTAAAGAAATGAAAATGCAAGGGTTGTTTTTGATTGAACAAATGTTTTATTACTATAATTCAGTCAGGAAAACTTTAGTCAAAGAAAACTTTATTTCCATTTGCAGTATTACATTTGGTGGTATGGCTCTGTTCTGGGGCCTCTGCATTTCCTAGGCCAATGCAGCGAGCCTCTTCCACTGAAGGCAAAGAGAGCACACCTCTCTGCCCTTCCACGTGCAAACCAGAAAAGCCTGAGGCGGAGAGAGAGCAAACCTCCCTGCCCTTCCATGTGCCTACATAGAAAGCCTGATGCAGGGAGAGCAGCAGCAAAGACCCCCCAGGAGCAGAACAGAGCAGCATCAATGACAAACAGAAATGACACTGATAAGTCAGACACAGCATGAAAAGTAGGAGCTGGGCTGGAAGCGGGTTGCAAAGCGGCTTGCAGAGGAAGCTGCAACAGAGGGCAGGCCAAATCAGTTTAAATAGGCGCCCTGAATGAGATTTGCATAGAAAGGAATCATGTGATCTATCAGCTGACTCCCTTCCATCAATCAGCTGCTCCATCAGTTGATTGGGCTGTTTGAGATCAGCTAATGTAGCTAGGATGGGAGCTGAGCTTGACATCGTGTCCTGCCTGAACTAAGGGTATGTTCAATTTGAATTTGAACCAAATTTGACCATTTTGTCAATGAAAGTATGTGTAAAAACTCTCCCTTTTGAAAATAATCAAAATTAGAGGGGAGATTCTAGGTCCAGTTGCATTTTTTCCCCGATATCGTAGCTGAGCAAATGTACATGATATACCTTGAACCTGTATATCACTTCAACCCTAATTTAACATATCTTTTATGTTGAATCTGCCTTTTGTGTGTCCCCCAACTTTATGGGATGGGAATATTAAACTGCTGAAATACTGCTTTTACACCCACATGTGGAGGGACCTTATTAAACTGAACCTCTATGGGCCTACCAATCATATGATGTAACATGATATGATGTTGCACTGATGACAAACAGCTGAAACTGCAGCTGAATCTGAACATATAACCATATAGTCATTATATTACATATATACTGATTGCTCTATCTTCCAAAAAACAAACTGATTATTTCTGCAGAAGCCACGCAGAACTTTTACTGTGACATAGAGAAATCATTCACAGGTGGGCGGAGACTATCAGCGGGCTGCGTGTGACGTTTCACGTAGACGTTGTTTTGGAGGAGGAAGTGAAAGGGGAAGAGAGAAGCTGGGGGTAGCAGATAGTTAGCTCGCTGGCAGGCAAGCATCTAAGAAAAGTGCCAAATTTACACACCACTTGTCGATAATCTGCCTCGTCAATCTACGCCGCGGTTTTTATTAGCGTCCACGCAAAGGGCAACACATTTTTCTAACAATTTGAAACGAGGTACTGCCAAATTAACGCTAGCTAACGAGTTCGGTGCCAGCGAGCTAGCTAGCCAGCTAACGTAACGCCTAGTTAGCCACTAACGCTAACTGCCCTGAACAATAACAGCTAGTTAGCTCGCGGACAGCTCGGTTCAAGTCAAGAAGTCGCCGCTCCGGTGTGCTACAAGTTGAAAGTAAGTACAGGAGACGACGACAGACTGTTAATACGTATAATGTTTGCTCAGTCATCATTTCGTGTCAGTGTCCTATTAACGCCAACGCTACAACGGCTAATGGTGGT